GCCCCGCAGCATTAGGGCCAGCCCATCTCTGCATCACCCCGCCCCGCAGCATTAGGGCCAGCCCATCTCTGCATCACCCCGCCCCGCAGCATTAGCACCCCAGGCCAAGCCCAGTAAATGTTGGCGGTTGTTTTAATTTTCTCTCTCTTGCTTTTTCCCTCTTGCTTCGTATTTTTCCATCTTCCCTTTCTTTTTCTCCTGCTTCTTTCCACCAACCACATATCCCAGCGTCGCCCTCCTTGCGTTTTCTTTCACCACTTACCATTTCTTTCCTTCCCCTTCCTCCTCCTTCCCCGCTGTTTCCTCTCTTTTCTCTTCTCTCCCACTCCCCACCCCCCACTCCCTCCCCTCAAACCCTCTTTTCTGCCTCCCCAACGCCCGCCTTTCGAGGCCCGGCGCGAGCGCGCTCACCCGGCAGGAACGCGTGGGAGTCAGGGACCGGCACGCCTGCGCAGCCTTATTCTCCTCCCCCGGCTACCAGTTGCGTCACGGAGCGAGGTCCAAGCTGATTGGCTGCCTGAGCCGCTGGGGTCGGTAGGGTGGGGAGATGCTGGGTTCTGGGCCTTGGACCGGCCCTCTCTCCCTAGTCTGTGAATCAACTATATCCAGTGGGTCAAGAAAAGGAAGAGGGCATGACTCTCGGGGACCTAAAGCATCAGAACCCAAAGGGCAGGGTTCTGGCAGCTGCTTTTGAGAGGATGCCGCATCTCATAAGCCACTCTTGCCAAGCATTTCTGGAAGGCTCGAAGGCCTTGGCCAGATGTAGGCCCACCTCAGCGCTGGCTGATCCTAGGCAGCTGTTGGGGCTTCCCAGGCCCAGGACCCCTGCCGGCACAGGGCCCTATCCCTGTGTGGGACTCCCTCAATTTCAGCCACCCCACCTTACTGGCCTTTTACTTCGTAGGTGGCTTCTACATGCTCCTGGACCCCAAGAATGCAAAACCGGGGCAGAAATCTGTCCTCCTGAGCCCCCTGAGCCATTCCTCTGGCTGTCTGAGTCTGTCCTTCCACTACATCCTCCATGGACAGTCACCTGGTGCAGCCCTCACCGTCTATGCTTCCGTCTTGGGTAAGACTGGCAGTCGCTGGCTTTACACAGACCTGAGGCTCATCTCCCAGGGTTGGGTTGACGGGAAACTATGGGGCATCCCTCAGAGTCTAGGGAAATCTAGGAAATATGCAAGGTTACTCCATGGAGTGGAATCAGGGAGCCAGGAGAGCACCGGCTTCTGGAACAACAGATACAAGTGTCAGGAGAGTGAGAGAGAAGGTTGTGTTTGCATTTGGGAGAGAGGAATACACTCCCAAGTAGTCTCTGTGCTACTCATCCTTCTGAGTATAGGTTTTTTTTTTTTTTTTTTTTAAGAGGCGCCTGGGTGGCTCAGTTGGTTAAGCGACTGCCTTCGGCTCAGGTCATGATCCTGGAGTCCCGGGATCGAGTCCCGCATCGGGCTCCCTGCTCAGCAGGGAGTCTGCTTCTCCCTCTGACCCTCTTCCCTCTTGTGCTCTCTATCTCTCATTCTCTCTCTCTCAAGTAAATAAATAAAATCTTAAAAAAAAAAAGATTTTATTTATTTATTTGACAGAGAGAGAGAGAGAAAGCACAAGCAGGGGGAGTGGCAGGCAGAGGCAGAGGGAGAAGCAGGCTCCCCGGGGGAGCCTGATGCGGGACTCGATCCCAGGACCCTGGGATCATGACCTGAGCCGAAGGCAGTCGCTTAACCAACTGAGCCACCCAGGCACCCCTGAGTATAGGTTTGAAGTCATTTTTCAGTCCCCTTAATAAGTCAGTTGTTTCTCGGATTCCTTCCATTGCAGGCAGCATCCGGAAACACACTCTCTTCTCAGGACAACCTGGACCCAACTGGCAGCCTGTTTCTGTCAATTACACAGGCCAGGGACAAATTCAGGTACAGACGAGCAAAGAGGTCAGGATTCCTTGCACATGGTAGGCACCTCTGATATTGAAACAGATTGAGGGTCTGGGCCCTGGGAGCAGGGTGCCTGGGTTCCTGAATAGAATAAAATTAGGTGGGGGGAGGGTTGGGGCTTTTGGGCTGGTTTTTCACTCCCAGCGCCCTTTCTCTCTCTCTTCAGTTCACCTTGGTGGGTGTGTTTGGAGAGACCCCAGAGCCAGCTGTGGCAGTGGATGCAATCAGCACTGCTCCCTGTGGGGGTGAGAACAAGGCCCGGGAGGACCAGATCGCTCAGAACTGGGGGTGGGACGGGGTGGGGGGGAGGAATAGAGAGCATGGCCCACGTTGCTCACATCTCCCATTTTGACCCCCTAGAGAGCTTTCCTCAGTGTGACTTTGAAGATGATGCCCATCCCTTCTGTGACTGGGCCCAGGCATTAGGGGATGGCGGACGCTGGACCCGGGGAAATAAAAATATGCACATCCAGGGTGCAGGCGCTTTTGAAGGTGAGGAGATTTAGGACCCCTCAAGCCAACAAATTACTGAGTTTTGTCCCAGCTGGGGGGTTGGCTGGATTGATGGAAGAAGATATTGTAGGTGGTGAAGATCAGCCAGCAGGTGTTTCCTGGGAAGCTGCCATGGGGCCCAAGCTGTGGAGATGACAGAAGTAGAGTGAGTTAAAGATTCTCTTGGCTGTGGGGTCCCTGAACTCCACCCGCCCCCAGAAAATGCAGGCATCTCACTTCGCTGAGCCCAAGGCTTCAAAATCCACACTCTCATTTTCAGTCAAGACATTTACTGATGCAGCCAGCAAAGGAGTCTGGGCTGCTGGCTTGGTTTTCCCTTTCTTTCTGATCCTGCCTCCTTCAGTTAGAAGTCCAAAACAAGCAGGGAAAAAAACAAAACAAAACAAAAAAACCCAACCCTGCTACAATGTAGGGAGTTTGCGTGTTTGCATCAGACCCTCTTTGGAAAGCACGGTGTTGTGAGAGAAAACAACACTAGGCTGTCCTGTGGAGATTTGTCATCTTATCCTTTCGATTCCCTTCTTTTTCGCCTGGAAGGTCACTATATTTACGTGGAGGCCGACAAGTTCTCTAAGGCGGGGCAGTCGTTCAGACTGGTGAGCCGGCCCTTCTGTGCCCCGGGTGCGATCTGTGTGGAGTTTCCCTACCACATGTATGGCCTCGGAGAGGGTACTAAGCTCAATCTCCTGCTGGAGAGTCCTGCGGGCAGTGCCCCATCCACTCTCTGGCACCGCGTTGGGTCTCAGAGTCCCAGCTGGCTGAACACCTCTGTCACCATCCCTTTGGGGCATCAACAGCCCATGCAGGTGAGAGAGAGAGCGCCCTGTCAGCGTCTGTGCGGAACATGGTGACATGGTGACGGGGGGGGGGACATAATGTTTGGGTACAACCAGGGCTGACAAGATGGGCCACTGGAAAGAGAGCAGAGGTGAACTTGGTGTCCCCGAGAGGGATACCTGGCTCCGGAAAAGGAGCGGGGGCAGAGTTGGACTGTCGAGGCTAGAACAAGGTGACCTTTTGGCAGAGGACAGACTGACCGGGAGAGTCCCTGAGCTGCCGGGGATTCACTTGCATTTCTCTCTTCTCTGTCCCTCATTACCTTCAGCTGATCCTGGAGGCCATCAGGGGTACCCACAGTGCCTTTGTCGTTGCTGTGGGTTTTATCTTGATCAATCACGGGACTTGTCGAGGTAAGACAAAATCCAGGGCCCCAGAAAGGGGGCCGTGTTCTGAGATGACCATCTCTGGGACTGTTGAAAATCAAGTTCTCGGTCATGCTTGAGTTTTCACACAGCTTTGTGTTCCATGTTCTGCCCACCTCTACCTTCCTGGTCTTACCAGGATGCTTGCTTGAGTGAATGTGACTTTGATGCTCTGGATTTCTGTGGCTGGATCCACAACCCCTTACCTAGTGGACGGTGATCCTGAAGGGAGGACCGACATCCTGTTCATGTTGTGTTTCCCGTATCTGGCACAATGTCTGACGTATATTAGGAGCAGTGTTTGTTGAGTGTTTGTTAAGTGAGTGAAGGTTGGGGTTGGAAATGGGAGAGGTGTAAGTTACTCTTTGAGCCTACCCACTCCAACTCGAAGTGAGTGAAGAAGGTGATGGTATGATTTTCACTAAACTCCGGGATTTGTTTGTTTCTTTGTTTTTCTTTGCAGGAACAGTGCCAACAGAGCTTCCTTCCAAATCTCCGGTTTCCCTCCCTGGCCCTTCTGAAACCCCTGTCTCCACAGGAAAACCTATGACTCCCACAGAAAAATCTATGGCCCCCACAGAAAAACCCATGGCTCCCACAGAAAAACCCACTGTCCCCTCAGAAAGATCCATGGCTGTCACAGAAAAACACACTGTCCCCAGTGAAATAGCCACTGTCCCCACAGAAAGACCCATGGCCCCCCCAGAAAAACTCACTGTCCCCACAGAAAGACCCATGGTCCCCCCAGAAAAACACACTGTCCCCAGTGAAATAGCCACTGTCCCCACAGAAAGATCCATGGCCCCCCCAGAAAAACTCACTGTCCCCAGTGAAATAGCCACTGTCCCCACAGAAAGACCCCTGGCTCTCCCAGAAAAACACACTGTCCCCAGTGAAATAGCCACTGTCCCCACAGAAAAACCCACTGGTCCCAGTGAAATAGCCACTGTCCCCACAGAAAGACCCATGGTCCCCAAAGAAAAACACCCTGTCCCCAGTGAAATAGCCACTGTCCCCACAGAAAAACCAGTGGCTCTCACGGAAAAACCTATAACCCCCACAGAAAAACCCACTGTCCCCAGTGAAATAGCCACTGTCTCCACAAAAAAGCCCATAGTCCCCTCAGAAATGTCCACTGTCTCCCCAGAAAAATCCACCTTCCCCACAGAAAAACTCACCATCCCCACTCAAAAGCCCACCATCCCCACAGAAAAGCCCAAAGTTCCCACAGAAAAGCCCACACTCCCCACAGAAGAGCCCACTATTCCCACTGAAAAACCGACTTTCCCCACTGAAGAGACCACTGTCCCCTCTGAAGAGAACACTGTGCCTCCTGAAGAGACCACTGTCCCCCCTGAAGAGACCACTCTCCCTCCTGAAGAGCCCACTGTCTTCACTGAAGAGTCTACCATCCCCGCTGAAGAATCCACTGCCTCTGCTGAAGAGTCTGTTGTCCCCATTGAAGAGACTACTGTACCCCTTGAAGAGCCCACTATCCCCACAGAAAAACCCACCATGCCCACTGAAAGGACCACCATCTCCACAGAAAAGCCTACTATCCCTGCAGAAAAACCCACAGTCCACACTGAGAGAACCACCATCCCCATAGAAAAACCCACCATCCCCACAGAAAAGCCCACTGTCCACATTGAAAAGCCCATGGTCCCCACTGAAAGGACTACTGTTACCACAGAAAGGCCTATAGTCCCCACAGAAAAACCCACCATCCCTACTGAAAAGACCACCATTCCCACAGAAAAACCCACCATTCCCACGGAAAAACCCACCGTCCCCACTGAAAGGTCCACTGTCCCTACCGAAAAATTCACTGTCCCCACAGCAAAACCCACCATCCCCACCGAAAAACCCACCATCCCTACAGCAAAACCTACAATCCCCACTGAAAGGTCCACTGTCCCCACAGGAAAACCCACCATCCCCACAGGAAAACCCACCATCCCCACAGGAAAACCCACCGTCCCCACAGGAAAACCCACCATCCCTACAGAAAAACTCACCGTCCCAACAGCAAAACCTACCATTGCCAAAGAAAAACCCACTGTCCCCACAGGAAAACCTACCATCCCCACTGAAAGGTCCACTGTCCCCACAGCAAAACCCACCATCCCCACAGCAAAACCCATCATCCCCACAGGAAAACCCACCATCCCTACAGAAAAACTCACCATCCCAACAGCAAAACTCACCATCCCCACTGAAAGGCCTACCATCCCCACTGAAAAGACCACCATCTCCACAAAAAAAACCCCTGTCCCCACTAAAAGCCCCACCATCCCCGCAGAAAAGCCCACTGTCCCTACAGAAAAAACTACCATCCTCGCAGAAAGACCCACCATCCCCACTGAAAAGACCACCATGCCCACAGAAAAACCCACTGTCCTCACTAAAAGGCCTACCATCCCCACAGAAAAACCCACTGTCCCTACCAAAAAGACCACCATCCCCACTGAAAAACCCATCATCCCCACAGAAAAATCCACTGTCCCCACAGAAAAACTCACCATCCCCACAGAAAAATCTACTGTCCCCACTGAAAGGCACACAGTTCCTACGACACCCCAGCCCAGCCCAACACTTGTACCAATTGGGCCAACAGTCTTGGTGATGCCTCCTACAGCTACTCCAAGTACCTCCATGACCACTACAACCCCTAGACGTACTCCAGGTATGTGATGGAGCGTTGGACAAACAGCTGAAAGTAAGAGACTGTGAATAGGAATGAGAATTAGATAAATGGATGCGTCTAATAGAAAACTGCGATCTTAGAGGAGAGATGAATGGGACATGGTAACTTTAGAAAAAACGAGGACCACCCTGACCAAGAGGGAAGGAGGGCATAGGTGGGGTGGAGGTTGTTGGGAGCCAAGCCCTAGGCTTACAACATCTTTTTTTTTTTTTAAATAGATATATAATTCATATACCGTAAAATCCATTCTTCTAAAGTGTATAATTCAGTGGTTTTAGTATATCCACAAGATTGTGCAAACATCAGTTTCTAAATACAGAACATTTTTTTTTAAAGATTTTATTTATTTATTCATGAGAGACAGAGGAGGAGAGAGAGAGAGGGAGAGAGAGAGAGAGAGAGAGAAGCAGACTCCCAAGGAGCAGGGAGCCCGATGCGGGACTCGATCCCAGGACCCCGGGACCATGACCCGAGCCGAAGGCAGACGCTTAACCATCTGAGCCACCCAGGCGCCCCAGAACATTTTTTTTTAAGATTTTTTTTATTTATTTGACAGAGAGAGAGAGATAGTGAGAGCCGGAACACGAGCAGGGGGAATGGGAGAGGGAGAAGCAGGCTTCCCGCGGAGCAGGGAGCCCGATGCGGGGCTCGATCCCACGACCCTGGGACCATGACCTGAGCCGAAGGCAGACGCTTAACGATTGAGCCACCCAGGCGCCCCAAACCAGAACATTTTTATCAGCCCTAAAGAAACCCCCTACCCGTTAGCAGTCACCACCTTCTCCCCAACCCCCATTGTGCCCCATCCCCTGGCAACCCCTAATCTATGTTCTGTCTCTGTCAATTTGCCTGTTCTGGACATTGCACACACGTAGAGTGATGTAACATGTGGTCTTTTGTGACTGGCTCCTTGCCCTCGGCATCACATTTTAAAGGTTCGTCCGTGTGCTAGAACTTCAAGTTCATCCACATGTCAGATCTTCATTCCTTTTTATGGCTGAATCATAGGGACCTCCTTCTTAGAGAACCTGAGGGTGGGGGTAGAGGAGACAGGAAATCTCCCTGAGAAAAGCACTAGAGTGAAGGGTTGATGCAAGCCGTTCTCCCCTTAGCGGGGTGCCCCCCAAATGCCCACTATGAGCCCTGCGCCTGCCCAGCATCCTGCGAGAGACCCAAGCCCAACTGTGGGCCCCTCTGCAAACCCGGCTGTGTCTGCAATTCTGGCTTTTTGTTTCATGAGTCCCGCTGCATCCATCCCTCTTCCTGCAATTGCTTCTACAACAACAATTACTATAAGGTAAGACCACTGGGAGGCCAGAGCCCGTAAGGGAGATGGCGAGTGGGTTCTGGCTCCATCTGCTCCCCAGGGGAGATGACTTTGGATCTGTGGAACAGTCCCACAGGGCCAGCTCACAAGCTGGTGGAGTTACACAATGGTGGAGTGATTCTTCGCAAATGTGGCTTTTCATTGTCCTCTCTGTTCATGCAGTAAATATTTGCTAAGTACCCACTTTGGCCCAGCTAGGACCCACTGGGCCAGCCAGGTGGTCCAAGGCCTTCCTCATCTCCTTCTTAAGGAAAGCTGGGGGTCCCTGCATATGCAGAGAGCCCTGGATGCTGAGTAGAGCTTCGGGTGTGTTCAGGGCAAAACACAGCATTCCAGGATCTTCTTCCAAAGGAACTTGCAAATCCTGTCAAAACACAGCAGTTACTGTCTCCTGGAATTGGTAGCCCCCCCACCTGGGAAGATTCAACGCATGCAGAGGCTCTGAAGGGGCACAGGCTCTGGGCCATTGCTGTCCAAAAGGGTTAGCATGCAAGCCTCAAAGTTATTTTACGTTTGCTAATAGCCACATTTTTAAAAAGTAAAAGGAAACAGGTTAAATGAATTCCAATAATGTACTCGATCTCTATTCTCATTTCAACATGTAATGAATAGTTATTAATGAGATCGCTTACATTCCTTTTTTCCCCCATACCAATTCTTTGAACTCCAGTGTGTATTTTTACACTTAGGGCATATCTCAGTTTGGACCAGCCACATTTCAAGAGCTCAATAGCCACAAGGGGCTGGTGGCGGCTATATGGGACAGAGCCACCCTAGAGTCAAGCAGATCAGAGCTTTAAATCTGGGCTCCAGCATTCACTTGCTGGGTGACCTTGGGCAAGATTCTTTCCCTCTTCAGATCTGTTTCTGTGTCTACAAAATGTGCCCATAATTTCTACTTACCTCATAAGATTGTTGTAAAGATGAAATTAGATCCCGATGCAGACCGAGTACTTAATAAATGTTACTATTATTAGCTAATTATGATAAATATCACATGTAATTTATTAAAAGTGATTTAAGCTATTCACTACCATCCAGTGGCTCTTCTCAGAACAGGTGTTCTTCCCATCTGTCATCTGAGTTCCTACTTGTCTCTTTGGGGACCACTTTCTCCCCCACCTCCCTTTAACCAGTCTCCTGGGTGTCCCTGTTGTCAGGGTTAGGATTAGCTTCAGCCTCAGAAAGAACCATCAGCATTCAGCATGTCTTGCCAGCCCCAGGAGACATGTATGCATGTCTTATAAAGATTCATTTATGCATCCAACAAATGTTTCTTGAGTACTTTCAACCCTCCTGGAATTGGGGCCACCACAAATAGGGCATGGTCCTTGCTCTCCTAATGCTCTCAGACCCTGGGGGACACCCTGGGTCTTGGGTCACTCTGATAAAGCAAGCGTTTCTTGAATGAGAACTCCTGCCAAGCACTGTGCTTTGTGTTGAGGCTACGATAGTGAATAAAGAGACATGGTCCCTCACAGAGTGTTTGCAATCAAACAACCACAGAAATTAACACGAAGGTGCAATTGTGGTAAGTCCTGGGAAAGAAAGGTACCCAGGGCTGTGAGGATGACCTAGTCAGGGGCGTCTGAGAAGTCTTCCCGAGAAAGTTGTGACCCTTGAGCTGAACTCTGCTTGCTGGTTGCATAAGAATGATTTGGAAAGGAACAGAAGAGCATTCCAGGGTGAGAGAGCAGCGTGTGCCAATGTCCTGTGGTAGACAGGAGTATCTGGTACGGGGTGGGAAGAGGAAGAGTATGAGCAAGGTTAGGTCTGCAAGGTGTGGTGGGGAAGGGAGAAGGGCCCCAGGAGCTAGAGTGTTGTGACTCTGGATCCCCTGCTCCCAGCCTGGGGCGGAGTGGTTCAGCTCCAACTGCACAGAACGTTGCCGCTGCAAGCCTGGCAGTCGGATGGAGTGTCAGATCTTCCATTGCGGGACTCACACGGTGTGCCAGCTGAAAAATGGCCAGTACGGATGCCAGCCCTACGGTGAGACCCTCCCGTCATGCTACCCCCGCCCGCCAGCCTGTGCGAGTGGGTATGACACCAGTGTCCCAATCCCTCCCTTGACCAGAGGAACTGGGGCATGCCACCGGTGGGTGAGGTGGCTGTGGGGCCTAGCCTGCTGCTTCATGTGCTCCCCACCCCCTCCCTTCGGCAGGCCGTGCCACCTGCGTCGTCTATGGAGACCCTCATCAAATCACCTTTGATGGGAGGCACTTCAGCTTCATGGGCAAATGCACCTACATCTTGGCCCAACCCTGTGGCAACTCGACAGGTAGGGCCCTGGAGATGTCTGGGCCAGGGTCTAAGGTCAGAACAGCTGCTGTGGGAGCACAGTGGAAGGCAGGAAAGGGCCGGGGGCGAGGGCAGATGCGGGAGACGCAAGGTGGGAACAAGGCCTTCTGTAGAGTAAGGGTTGACACGTCCACCCCAGGAACAGGACTTTCGCAGGACCCGACTGCCGGCGAGAATGCACTGTAGGACATTTCCCTTAATCAGCCATTTCCTGGGCCCGCGTTCAGCGAGGGGCCGCCTGGAATAATGGCCATAGCGGGAGGAGAGAACTATTACAAATGCCCTGCCCTGGAGGATGTTCTAGTCCCTTAGGGGAGACAGAGTCTCAACAGAGTTACAGGCGCTCCGACAGTCACATCTGGGTCCCCCCTCCCCTCTCAAACTGCAGAGCCAGGGCCTGGGGAGGTCTTTATCCCTGCGGCGGCGCCGGGTGTAGGCGCCATCCTCAGTGGACCCTCAGAAATGCTTGTTGAGGGGCGCCTGGGTGGCTCAGTTGGTTAAGCGTCTGCCTTCTGCTCGGGTCTTGATCCCAGGATCCTGGGATTGAGTCCTGCATCAGGCTCCCTGCTGAGCTGGTAGTCTGCTTCTCCCTCTGCCCCTGCTCACCCCCAGTGCTCACACATGTGCACTCTCTCTCTCAGATGGATAAATAAAATCTTTTTTTTTTTTTTAAGATTTTATTTATTTATTTGACAGAGAGAGACATAGCGAGAGCAGGAACACAAGCAGGGGGAGTGGGAGAGAGAAGAAGCAGGCCTCCCGCAGAGCAGGGAGCCCGATGCGGGGCTCAATCCCAGGATCCAGGGATCATGACCTGAGCCGAAGGCAGACGCTTAACGATTGAGCCACCCAGGCATCCATGGATAAATAAAATCTTTAAAAAAAGAAAGAAAGAAATGCTTGTTGAATGAGCCCCTGGGTGCTCTTCACCCCTCTTCCCACTCAGAGCCATTCTTCAGGGTGGCAGCGAAGAATGAGGGCCGAGGAGAGGAAAGCATCTCCAGCCTGAGCAAAATCTACGTGACACTACCCAAGGTCACCATCACGCTGCTCGGGGGCAGGCGCGTGCTGGTGAGTGTCCTTTCCTCTTCAGTTGTACCGGGGCCTCCAGGCCTGGCTGTGGCTTGTCCTGTGGGCTGCCAGGTCCTGGTCGGCGCCTGCAGCCTCCGACCTTCTCAGGGACAGCTTCCAGAGCATTCCGTGCGTTACCAAGGATTGCTGTGGAGGGCTCTCCTGCCTTCCAGCATGGACGTGGTAGTCTGCTGGGGTGGGAAGGTTCTCCTTGACCCCCCCATCTGTGTCTCCGTCTCCTCCCTTGACCCACCTTCCAGGTTGGGGGTCAGCAAGTCACCCTCCCCGCCATACCTTCGAAAGGCATTTTCCTGGCTTCAAGTGGGCGATTTGTGGAGCTGCAGACAGTGTTTGGTTTGCGGGTGAGATGGGATGGTGACCAGCAGCTGTATATGAGTGTGCCCAGGTGAGGGGTGCACAGGCGGCTACCACGTCTCCCTGCTCTGCCCCTCCCTCCCTCTCCCAGCCCCTTCCCCTCCCCCACCCGTTCCCTCGCAGGCACTAACTCTTAATCCGGGTGTAGGAAGTACCTCCACTGGCCGACCTCCCTCCAGATGGAGAGACAGGGGGACATGGCTTCAGGGCAGTGTGATAATAGCAGGATATACACACAATGCTTTGAGAATGTGCTAGAAGGAGTTGATAATGGGCCTTGGGAGCTTTCTGAAGAGTGGTCCCTTGACCCCAGTCTTCCAGAGAGAGTGGTTCCCCAGAGGAACCAACCAGGGAAAGAATGCCTTTGCAGGTGGTGAATGCCAATGCAAGGAAAAAAACGGGAATGTGGGTAGATGGCGTGTGAGTGGAAGGGAGCAGTAAGGATGGCTCCGGGGTGAGGGGTGGGAGGTCCTTGTGCACTTGGGGCCTGGCACGTCCCCTGGCTCGCCGCTGCACCCTGTTAATCCTCCGCTCTGCCCTTCTCTGCCCTGATCCCTCGGGCGACCGGAGCCCCTTCTCTCCGTTAACGCCGCCCCCACTCCCCATGGCTCCAGCACCTACTCTAGGAAACTCTGTGGCTTCTGTGGCAACTACGACGGGGACGGCAGCAATGACAACCAGAAGCCGGACGGCAGCCCAGCGCAAGACGTGGAGGAGCTGGGCAAAAGTTGGCAGACAGCGGGGGGCGAGGACAAGGAGTGAGGACACCCCCACCCCCGCCGCGGCCCTCTGCTCCTTCTCCCTTCTGAGAAGCACGCACCCCGACCGGCACCACCCCTTTTCTTCTTTCTTCTCTCCTGCATGCAACCCCCCCCCACATCTGTCGTTCTTCTCCCTGCTCCCATTGCGGCCAAGTTCACGAGCTTGTGGCCACCACGCTCGCCCCCACCTCGGCCGCGCTAGGGGGACACTGAGCAGCCTTCCCCGCTGGCTCAGCCCCAGGTCTTCCTGCCTCCTTTCGGGCTCGGCGTTCAGACGCTGTCCACTAGGGGCAGCCGTGAGCCGCGACACTGCTGGGGCTGAGGCCGGGGCGGGGCCGGGATGCGAGCCTCCAGGGCATGTGGGGTGGGTCCCTTCTAGGTGCCAGAGGAACCCGACAAATCCTCCGTCTTGCAACCGGGGCTTTCTGAACAGTCTGTCGGCACTAGAGGTCTGTGGACGGCTCGTGAACACCCACGGAGCCTTCGAGTATGAAGGGCGACCGTCGGTCGGGCTGTGAGAGGGGGTCCCTTGGCACCTGGGGTCGTTCCCTCTGACCTGGCCTCTCTCCTCAGGGCATGTCTGCCTCACCTCGAGGCCTCTCTGTTCCTCAAGAACTGCGTGTTTGACATGTGTAAATTCCAGCGGCTGCAGTCAGTGCTGTGTGCCCACATGGCAGCTTTGACCGAGATCTGCCAGGATGCCGGCTATGCAGTGAAGCCCTGGAGGGGACCCCAGTTCTGCCGTGAGTTGTGCCGAGCGGCGGGGCCCGTTCCTTCACAAGCAGGTGCCAGCAGAGGTCGGGCATCCGAGTGTTCGCACAGGCTGGGGGGACCCCTGGTGGAACCCCTTTGCTTCCACGCGTGCACAGGGAAAGCTGCAGTCAGAAACCTCCATCGAGAAAAAATCATAGTCCCTGGCAAACTCGGAGCCCTCCCAGCCGCTCGAGGCTATGCGGAGCAACGCACGTCTGTGTAGACGCATGCCCAGGTCGTTCTCCGCACACAGAACACAGACTCCCAGCGTGAGTGGGTGCACCGTGACTGGCTCACAGCCCCCTCATGGCCTCCGGGGAGCCTGCTTTAGGGCATGGCCATGCCCTTGATCGAGGCCCCATGGGTGTTCTCCCCTGCTCTCCATCACCCTGACTTCTCACTTGGGCATGTCTATACGGCAGCTGAGACGCTTGGATCTGTTTGCGCTCTCAGACCTGCCTCTTGGTAGCTCCCTGCAGGTCACTGTCTTTGGTCCCGCTTCTCCTGGTCGCTCTCTGCTTCTTGGGATTGGGCAGAAGCCTCTAGCTGTGGGCCCTCCGAACGCTGGCCTCCGAATGGACTTCGTTCCCTTTCCCTGTCCCGCCCTCTGCTCTTCTCACGTCTGCTCCTCCCTCCCCCAGCTCTGACCTGCCCGCCCAACAGCAGGTACACTCTGTGTGCCGGGCTGTGCCCAGCCACCTGCCATCCCAGCTTCTCTGGGATGTCCTGCCAGAACCGATGCGTGGAGGGCTGTGAGTGCAACCCGGGCTTCGTTCTCAGCGGTCTCCAGTGTGTCCCTCGGTCCCAGTGCGGGTGCTTCGACCCCACGGTGGGCTACTTCAAGGTGAGCCTCTGGGCCTGGGTCGCTCCGCTCTGCCGCCTCCGGTTCTGAAGTCTGGGCGAGCCCGTGTGCGGGACAGAAGGCCGGGAAGCCACGCGGTGCGTGGATGGCTGGGGGAAGGGATGTTCGGGCCCGGATCTGCTTCCCCATTTCTTTCTCCAGCTCTGGCATGGAGCCCTAGCGGCTTTTGCCCACGCTGCCGGCAGAGCTGAGACCCCTGCCTCTCTCCCTTCCCTGCCCCTGAATCATTTTTCCCGGAGTTTTTCGTCCTCTGAGGGCCCAGGCACTTCTGTGTCATCTGCACAAACGCAGACATCTTTCCAAACCCCATGTCCTCCCTGCCATGGGCCCCTTTCCCTGATGAATGACTTTGGCCCCAGCCTGGGCCCCTGTCTGCACACTGCCTCAGAAGCAGTGTTTGGAGCCAGACCCTCGTCTGCGGTGCTTCTCTCTTCCTTCTTTGCCTGTCCCTCACCCTGTCCCTGGGAATGGTGTCCGTCACAGCCCTCAGCCCCGCTCCGGGCTGGCCCACCAAACACTATCCCTGCCTTGCTCTCCTGTCAGTTTCACCTTCTCTGCAGCCGCTTTGTCTCTGCTCTGCCCCCAGCCACTGTGCCTGTCGGAGTCCTTCACCTTGCTCTGAGGCTCTGTTCACAGCCACCTCCTCCTTGAAGCCTCCCTGATTAGCAGAGTCAGAAGGCTTCCCTCAAAACTTCCGTTGAAAGTGTTTGTTGTCTGTGTGGATGGCAGGAAACTCTCGTTGGGTCCCCTGGTTGTCTTCTTCGGGTGCATATCGTGTGGGAGCCCCTGATCTATTAGTTTACTTGTTTACTGCCCTCACCATCCCCCCGACTGGGTTGTGAGCTGTTAGGGCAGGGACATCGTCCATCCAGTTCATTCCTGAATCCCTAACACCTGTCTAGTGCAGAGAGATAACTATCTGTTGAAACAGCAAAGGAGCAAACAAGTGAATGACTGAATAAGGGCGAATCCCAGGCTTTTGTAGCTAAGCCCGGAGCTTCGGGATGACGGGAACAGCTCCCTGGCCAGCAAACCAGGGATCTGAGTAGCCGTGGGCCGGCAGTCAGACCTGGGAATGACCTCTTTCCCTCCCTCCCTCCCTCCCTTCCTTCCTTCCTTCCTTCCTTCCTTCCTTCCTTCCTTCCTTCCTTCCTTCCTTCTTCCTTCCTTCCATCCCCCAGGTAGGGGAGCAGTGGTTCAAGCCAGGCTGCAGACAGCTCTGTGTCTGCGAGGGCAACGGTAAAGTTCACTGCATGCAGTGGAGGTGCCGGGCCCAGGAGGTCTGTCGTCAGCAGGATGGCACCTATGGCTGCCATGCCCAAGGTGAGCAGCCAGGTGGAAGGTGAGCTGGGACCGGGGCGGGGGTGCTGCCCACGTGGCCTCGAGCGGGGACATGGCTCTGCCCTATAGCAGGCACCCCAGAGAGCTGGGGCCTGACTGGGGGCTGGAAGGCATTGGCCCAAGCCTGAGCAACCTCTTCACAGACCCAGTGAGGTTGGGGCAGTCCCTGTGCCTGAACTTTCCAGGCCAAGCCAACCCCACAGAGGAGCCTTGGGTCCCAATCCAACATGGACTGGCTGGGATGGCAGCTCAGCGTTTGGGGTGGGGGGGTGGTCTCTGAATTCCATCTCCTCCACCCCAGGGACTGCCACCTGCAGTGTCTCAGGGGACCCCTACTACCTGACGTTCGACGGAGCCCTGCACCACTTCATGGGCACCTGCGCCTACATCCTGACCCGACCTTGCCAGTCTAGGTCCCTAGAGAACTACTTCATTGTGAGCACCACCAATGAGTTTCGCAGCGGGAACTTGGAGGCCTCCTACGTCAGAGCCGTCAATGTGCAGGTCTTCAACCTGAGAATCTCACTGATCAAAGGGCACAAGGTCATGGTGCGTGCCTCCGCCCACCTCCCAGGGCCCCACACCCCCAGCCCGCTCAGCGGTTCTTCTATGCCCGTCCTCATGTTGCGGGGGGCAGACCCACCTGTCCGGCTTCTAGAGCCCCTGGGGGTGGCTCACAGCAGATCCAGCCCCGATTCCAGAGACGCATCGCCATCCCTGTCTGCTCCCTGGTCCTGGCCCCCCGTTGTCCTTGTCCCAAGCGCCTTTCCCTACCGCGTCCTCCCTGCTTCTGTAGCTGAATGGTCGCCGGGTGGCCCTGCCTCTGTGGCCCGCACAAGGCCGGGTGATCATAAGGCCCAGTGGCTCCTTTATCCTCCTCTACACGGACTTCGGGCTTCAAGTTCGCTATGATGGGAACCACCTGGTCGAAGTGACAGTGCCGTCTTCCTACACCGGGCGGCTCTGCGGGTTGTGTGGTGAGTTCCCTGAGCATCTGCGGGCAAACTGGGGACAACGGGCAGGAGTCTGTCCTGGTCCTGCTCATCCACACATTTAATTAGGTGTCCTAAGTGTTTGTCTGCCCGTTCATTGTTTGAGGGCGCTGTGCATGAGGGTAGGTGTGAAGGGAAGCCAAGGTGAAGAGAAAGAAGAGAGGAACCTTGGTCTGTTGAGGGCAGAGTGAGCGTTGACTCTTCTGGGAGGCAGGTGGTGGTCCCGGGCTGGGTCGGCTGGTAGCGTGCCTCAGTGGCCTCTAACTGGCCCCTCCTCCAGGCAACCACAACAACAATAGCCTGGATGATAGTCTGCTCCCCAGTAAAAGGCCTACGGCCAGCTCTGTCCACCTGGGGGTCGCCTGGAAGTTACCGGAGTACTCTGAACCGGGGTGAGCTGGGAATGTGGGGAGCCGGACGTGGGGAGGAGCCTCCGTGGGCAGCCTGGGGGGTTCCTCTGGGCATCCCTGATGTCTCCAAGGCTGGACTGGACCTCCTTTCCTCCCGTTTGCTCCTGTGCTTACCAATCTGTCTTTGGAGAGACCACTTGGGAAGTGCATCCTGAAAGCTAACCTGGGTCCTTCCTGCTACATCTTCTGACCTCCCTACTTGAGGGACCACTTTGTTCTCTCCTCCAGTCCTTACCCCTCTCCCATTTTCCCTCTCCACTCTTGCATCAGTGTTTGGGAAATTTCCTCCAATCCTAAATTCTTGTCCCTTCCCCTCTCCTTGTTTAGCTGCTTTGTTGAGGGTGGCAAGCCCTCCAGATGCCTGGAGAACAAAGAGGCAAACAACTGGGAAAAGAATTGTGATATCTTAATGAACCCCCGGGGTAAGCACCCCTTGATAGCTGCTTCCCCCCCACACCCCGGGGGAGGTCGAGGAGGGGGACTGGTCAGGGAGGGAGGAAGGATGAGGCACGAAATAGAGGGAAAGTCAGGAGGAAGGCAAGCAAAGGGAAGGCAGAGGTGGTGCTCACCTCGGGAGCTCAGATGGATCAGTCACTTTTTTTTTTTTTTTTTGCACTTCAGACGGTAGGTTCTCAATAATTACGGGTTTTTTAAATTTTTATTTATTTATTTTGAAAGAGAGAGAGAGTGCGAGCAAGGGGAGGAACAGAGGGGTAGCGAGGGAGGGGAGAGAATCTCAAGGAGACTCCGCACGCTGAGCGCAGAGCGTGACGCAGGGCTCGATCTCACAACCCTGAGATCATGCTCTGAGCCGAAACCAAGAGTCGAGTGCTTAACCGACTGAGCCCCCCAAGCACCCCAATAATTACTGGGTTTTGATTGAATTGGATGTTGAATTCACCCTAAAGGAGTTAGGTGGTTCTTTTCCTTTCCAAGCCGACGCTCGGTACATTGTTTCATCCTCCAGGACCCTTCTCCCAGTGCCACGGGGTGGTGCCCCCCCAGTCCAGCTTCGCCAGCTGTGTGTATGGCCAGTGTGGGACCACGGGTGACTCCCTGACCCTGTGCCGCTCCCTGCAGGCCTATGCATCCCTGTGTGCGCACGCCGGCCAGGCCCTCACCTGGCGAAATAGCAGCTTCTGCCGTGAGTGACCCGACCACCTGCTCCCAAAGCCGCCAGATCCCTCTCTCTCTTCCTCTCCTTCAAGTCTGCTTCTCTGCTCTCCCTTCACAGCCTGGCCCTCAGCCCCACAGGGAACCTTCCTCCCTTGCCCTCTTTCCAGTCTCTCCAAGACCAACCCCCCTTCTCAACTTGTCTGCTAGCCCTGGGAGCCTCCTCCATCTGACTCCCTCCTCGCCAAGACATTCCACCCCCATTTGGTTTCTGCCTTCTTCCTGTCTGACCTAGGCCAGCGCTGTTCCCTTCCTTTCTTACTCTCTTCTCCAGAAACTTTTTTGTTTTTAAATTGTGGTAAAATATACATAACACAAAATTTCCCATTTTAATGATTTTTAAGTATCCAGTTCTGCAGTATAAAGTACGTTCACACTGCTGTGCACCCGGGACCACTACCTGTTGCTAGAACTTTTTCATCTTCCAAGCTTAAACTCTGCACCCATGAAACACGAACCCCCCATTCTCCCCTCCCCGGCCCCCGGCAACCACCGTTCTGCTGGGTGTCTATGAATTTGACAACTCCAGGGACCTCACATAAGAGAAATCATACAGTATTTCTCTTTTGGTGAGCAGCTTGTCTCACCTAGCATGTCTTCAAGGTTCGTCCATGTTGGAGCGTGGGCCAGAGTATCTTTTTTTCAAGGCTGAAAATTATTCCACTCTATGCATAGGCCTCGTTTTGTGTATCCATTCATCCGACGAACATTCTCGGGAACTCTCGATGCCCCGAGGTCAGGGAGCTGGAAATCACTGCTCTTCCTCACCCTGGTTTCTTCTTAGCTCTGAAGTGCCCCCCCGGAAGCAGCTACAGCCCCTGTGCCAACCCCTGCCCGGTCACCTGCCTCAGCCTGGACACCCCAAAAGACTGCCCAGCAGGGCTGCCCTGTACCGAAGGCTGTGAGTGCCAGAAAGGCCACATCCTGAGCGGAACCTCCTGTGTGCCCTTCAGCCAGTGTGGCTGCACCCACCAGGACGGTTCCTACCACCCGGTGAGGGGCTAGACTGCAGCGCCCCATGTTTGAGGGCAGGAGGGCTCAGAGCCTGTGAAGGGGTAGTGGGGGAGGCAGGGAGGCCCGTGTAGGGGGCTGAGCAGCCAGTCCAGAAGCCAAAAGGTTGAGGAAGGCTAGGGATGGAGACAAAGAGTCAAGGGCAGCGAGCCCGGGGGCGGGGGCACAGGGAGGGGGGGTTTCCGTCCATCGTGGGCTTCCAAACTGCCCTTGGCTCTGCCGATGCCCCCGTCCCACAGGTCGGGGAGAGCTGGTACACAGACAACACGTGTTCCAGGCTTTGCACCTGTTCCGCGAACAGCAACATCTCCTGCCACCAGAGCACCTGCAAGCCGGGCCGGCTGTGCTGGCCCCTGGACGGCCTGCTGCGCTGCCGCCAAGCGGGTAGGAGGCCCTTGAAGTCACCGCGCCTGCTCTCCCCGACTCCCCCTCCCGGTCTCCGGCCACCTGTAGCACTCTGGCTCCCCTCCATGCTGTCCCGAAGAGCTTCTGGTGGGGAACGATGACCCCCGTGCCATCAAGAAGGGCTCCTCCTCGGGTTACCTCGTGGTTCTCCCAGCCATGAGCTTTGACCGGACAGTAATCCCCACTCGGCCTCCAAGCCTCATCCTGGTGGGGGCCAGATGGCTCTTCAGCCACCCTTGCCTCTCTGCCAGGCATGGGAGTGTGCCGTACCTCGGACCGCTCCCCGTATGTGACGTTCGATGGCGCTCGCCATACCATCTGGGACACCTGCACTTATGTCCTGGTGAAACTGTGCCACCCCACCATGGACCTGCCTTTCTTCAAGATCAGTGGCAAGCACGGGAGGCTGAGAGGCCGCTCCACTGCTTTCTACCTCCGCCGGGTCAATATCGACATCTCTGACACCCGGGTCACCTTGGGAAAGGACCACCACGTGCTGGTGAGCTGGGCGGCGGCGTGGGTGGGGAAGGGAGGACGCCAACCCCGCTCTGGGGAGGGGGCTCCGGTCCTTCTTCCCACTCACCTGCCCTGCCCGCCTCTGTAGATCAACGGCACACGGGTCACTCTTCCCTCGACCACCCAGATCCGGGGGGTCAGAATCATAGCCAGCGGCATCTACACCGTACTCAATGTTAACGTCGGGCTGCAGGTCAAGTTTGACGGCAAAGGCTTCTTAGAGGTCCAGCTCCCTACGGCCTATTACCAAAAGGTGGGGGAAACCCCTAGCTCTTTTCCAGGGGAGTCCGCCTCCAGAGGGCGCTGAGCCCTCTCCAGACCCAAGGGGTCATTCCCCGGAAAGGAGGAGGGCCGGGAGGGCGCCTTTTTCTTAGGAGTGGAAATGCGGGCACCCAGGAGGAAGACTCTCCTGCCTGCCCCCGGCCGCTGAGAGCACCTTCGCCCGCCCCCCCAGGTCTGCGGCTTGTGTGGGAACTTCAATGATGAGGAAGAAGATGAGCTCATGATGCCCAGTGATGAACTAGCCCAGAATGACACTGAATTGGTGGCCAGTTGGCAAGATAGGGCGAATGACCCAAAGTAATTGTCCCCAAAGCTCTACATCTTCATAGGAACGCGAGTTGGGATCCCAGACTATATGGCAGGGGATAGGAGGACCGGAGCGTTCCCGTATGTGTGTACCTTGACAGAGGATGGCCTCTGGGTCCCGGGAACCTACCTGGGGAACCATGAAAGTCTTCCCTTTTTTGGCTTCAAAACGTGGGAGGGGACTGAGGCTGCAGGGAAAGTGGCCAGGTCTCAGACCGGCTTCCTGCTGAAGACAAGCGGCGGGGGGG